AGTCCCTTCTTACACCAGGGAAAAATACTAATCCACTACCAGAGGCTCCCTGGAGTGCAGAGGCCTCCTTATTGACATCTATGTTCAGGGATCTGGATCACTCTTGTACTGGCCTCCCAGTTAGCATCTGGGGTCGATGTGCTCCCCCTTGTTCAGGCCAACTGTTTCTGTGGGTTTCTCCAACCTGGTACAGACCCCTTTGTTCTTCATTCCTCCCTCTCTCCAACTAAATTCCAGATTTCAGCTCAGTGTGTATCTGTGGATGTCTGTCTCTGTTTCCATCAGCCACTGGATGAGGGCTCTAGGATGGCATAAAGAGTAGTCATCAATCTCATTTTAGGGGAAGGGTTTTTAGGTTGTCCTCTCCACCATTGCCTGGATTGTCAGATCATGTCATCCTTGTAGGTCTCTGGAGATCTCCCTAGTTCCAGATCTCTTCTCAGACCTATAGTGGCTCCCTCTAATATGGCATCTCTCATTCTGCTCTTTCTCCTCTATTCTTCCCCTGACTCAATATTTCTGCTCCTCTATTTCCTCTCCTCTACTCCTCTTCTCTTGATCTTATTGTGGCAGTTCCCTCTCCCCTACCCTTGTGCTCCCAATTAGCTCAGGAGTTCATGCCACTTCCCATTCCTGGGGTCCATTTATCCCTTAGAGTCCTTCATGTTTCCTAGTTTCTTTGGTGAAGATGATCCTATCTTTTTAAGAAGATTTTTTTTTTTTCTGAGACAAAATATTGGGGTACAGATATTGCCTATTGAAGGCATGGAAAAAGTCACCTTCATAATTGTTGCAAAAGTCTAAAGAACTAGTTACAGGGATGATGAAGGTTAAAGTGATTCCAAGTCATATTTGAGACAGGGAGAAAGGAGGACATAGACTAGACCTGGACAGGATACTGTGTGTGATTTGTACAGAGATTTACTGAAGGTTGGTAGTCCCAAAGAAAAGCTATTGTTAGGGTTTAAAAAATCTTTTCTTTAGTAGTAGAAGCAAATTTATTGTGAAGAATAAACCATTAATTAAATAAGAATCTTTACATGAAAGTGCTACCAAGTTTTCTTTTTGTATTTGAAAAGCAGTTATATCAATTGTCAATTTGTTTTTTGTATTCTTTTGTTATAGGCCAAAGATAATTTTGAAAAAGAACAAAGGCGTAAAGAACTTAAGCAACTTCGAGGTGAGGACACATGGATGCTACCTGATGTAAATGAGCGAATTGAACAGTTCTCACAGGTGAATATTAACAGATGTCTTTGATGTAATGGTAGGACTTACTTTCTTGACTTTGTATTTTCAGGAAGGGTCTCTCTATCTGGACCTTGCTGGCCTGGCACTTGTTGGGTAGACCAGGCTGGCCTCAAAAGCCTACCAAGTGCTGGTATTAAAAGTACTAAAGGCATGTACCACTCAGTCTAGTGTATGTCTTTTCTTTTTAAAGTATGATTCAATTAATATTGAGAAACAACTTTTTCCTTTATGTTTATTTGTTGTTTCTATCGCTATCTCTTTCTCTGGCCCTCTCTGTCTCTCTCTCTGTGTGTGTGTGTGTGTGTGTGTGTGTGTGTGTGTGTGTGTGTGTGTGTGTGTGATGGTTTATGTGTGCAGGTCAAAGGGCAACTTGCCTGAGTGACTTTTCTCCTACTTCGTGGGTTCTGGGGATTGAACTGTGTTTATCAGTAACATGTTCACTATTAGGTGCTTAGCATTATTGAAATTTGTCTCCTTAGGCAACAAAATGTCTGTCTTGACCACAATTTCATCATGATATGAAAAGATTTTGTTATTTGTGTTGGCTGGTAGAATTGGTTATAAATCTCTTGGCTATTTGTAGGAAGCTTTTAGATCTGAAAGTACATGTTTTAAGATTCATGCTTTTTATTTTTATTTAATTAATTAAATAATTTGTTTTTATCGAGCCTTATTTTCTCTTTTTTACAAGTTTTTAGCAGTTTGCATTCTGGCATGTGTCCCCACAATTGTGCAGGGTTTTTTGTTGTCTGTTTTATTTTGTTTTTAATTGAACTATGTTAATTGTTTGTATTTACAGAGGACACTGATATTTTGATCTGTGTACACATTATAGAAAGATTTAGTGGAGGGTATACACCCTTCATACACTCACTTTTTCTTTTTTTCTGGTGAGAATATTAAAATCTGTGTTTTAGGAATTTTTAAATGTTTATTGTGTATTCAGAACCACGATCCTGGTCCTGAACCACCTATCACTAAAGCTTAATGGTTATATGTTTATATCTGTATTTATTTTTTATACTTGTCACATACAAATATCTTAACCAAAACTTTACTCATATCTTTTCTGGTAAGAAACCTGAGTTACTATGTTGATTAGTAGTGCTTGTCTTACAGAAAGTATGCTAAAGTTTTTTAGAAAATTTTATTATATATATACATGTGATCTTTGTTTCTTTTTGTAAAAGAATGTAAAGTTTCTTGGAACATGTATTTTTCTTTTCACTCAAAATGCCTCCTGTTAAAATTAGGTAAGATTAAATTCATGTTATACTTGTTCAAAATTATTAGGAACACTCTGTGAAGAAAAAGAAGAAAAAGGACAAGCATTCAAAGAAAGTGAAGAAAGAGAAGAAAAAGAGCAAGAAACAGAAATATGAAAAACAGAGTGAGTCGACTGACAGTTCCTCGGTAAGTGAGCACTGAGGCTGAGTCCTGCAGCTGTGGAGAGTGGTGCTCTTGAAGGAATAATGTATGGGAACTGATGGTGCATGGGACCTTAAAATATTACAGCTTATGACAGAAAAATGTCTATAAGACACCCACTTGGAGTTCCCTAGGAAATACTGGCAATGTAGATTGTTCATTTTAGAAAATGGTATACAATTTGTTGTTCTTTGTTGGATGGACACCAACACTGATGATGAGCCACATGGGAAGGAGAGGAAACCACTTGTATGAAAGTGGTTCGAAAATTGTAAGGGCTTGGGTCACTTCTTCAGTTCTGTCTTCTGCAGTACACACACCTTGTCTTTTGTTTTCCTGCTGGCTCCACTCCATGGCTTGTGTTGTTCTTCATTGTCATCCCATGGTACTGGCATCTCCAAAATCCTGCGGTCCCTCACTGCAACTGGGCTGCACTTTCACCAATAGCCTCTAATAGGCTCTTTTCATGGTGTCAAGCCTCTGCTTCTTCGTATGACCCCTTCAGTCCTGGGCTTTCAGCTGCCACTGAGACTACACCTTCATCAATGGTCTTTCGGGGCCTTTCATAGTGTCACGCCTCAGCTGCTCTTTATGACCCCTTCATGCGTTCAAAACCAGTACCACCTGGGTGATGCTCACACAGTTCCAAGTCCTGCTGCCTGCATGAGGTACAATCTTAGCCACCTCTTGAATACAGTTTCCCTGTGCTTCCCAAAACACTTCCCAGAAGATTTCACCTCATTGATGCTGGTCTCTTCTTAATCACCACTAATTTCTTAGCTCCAGCCAACCAGCATCCAGTATTCCAGCAAAGTAAAATTTTACTTTAGTAGTTCTGGTGTCTTGTTGATTACAGCTGATTCTTCAGCCCCAGCTAATCAGAACTACAGGATCTTAATTCAAAATAACAATGGTCATAATAGAGCCTTTAAACTTCCCTCTGAAATTTCACAAGCCTGTTCTCCATCTTCTGCACTGCTCTTAACATTGTTATCTCCCAAGCTCCCAAAGAACATCCCGCTGAGCTCTTAATACTCAATGGTTCTTCTAGCCCAAAGTTTCAAAATCCTTCCACAGATCTCTGCAAAACATGGTCAGGTCTGTGACAGCAATACCGTATTACAATGGTAAACAATTTGTTTTAGGGCTTATATTGCTGTGAAGAAGCACCATGACCAAAAAGCAAGCTGGGGAGGAAAGGGTTGATTTGGCTTACACTTCAGCATTGCTGTTCATCACTGAAGGAAGTCAGAACAGGAACTCAACAGGGCAGACTCCTGGAGGCAGAAGTTGATGAAGATGCCGTCCAGGGGTGCTCTTACTGGCTTGCTTCCTGTGGCCCACTCAGCCCACCTTTTTTTGTTGTTGTTGTTGTTGTTTTTTTGTTTTGTTTTGTTTTGTTTTGTTTTGTTTTTTTGAGACAGGGTTTCTCTGTGTAGCTTTGGAGCCTATCCTGGCACTCGATCTGGAGACCAGGCTGGCCTCGAACTCACAGAGATCCACCTGCCTCTTTCTCTCGAGTGCTGGGCTGTGCCCGGCTTAACCCACCTTTTTATTGATCCCAGGACCACCAGCCCAGGGATGGCCCTCCCTTAGTGATCACTAAATGAGAAAGTGCTGGATCTCATCAAGGTATTTCCTCACATGAGGATCCTTCCTCTCTAATGACTCTAGCTTACATCAAGTTGACACACAAAACCAGCCAATACACAAATAAATGTTTTAAATGCTTAGGCAATTTTGAGGTATTTCATGGAATAGAAGAATGTAATTTTCTTAGAGGGCCTTGGCTGAGTTGGTAAAAGTGTTTGCTGTGTAGGCATGAGGGTGTGAGTCTCAGTCACTAGCACCCAAGTAAAAAGCTGGTGTGGCTTTACACGCCAATAACCAAGCACTGTGCAGAAGCAGAGAGAGGAGGTTTTCTGGGGCTTGCTGGCTTCTGAGGCCACCCACGTTCAGTCAGAGACTCTTACAAGAGAATAAGGTGATAAGTGATAGATCAAGGTAACCAGCCTAGATGTTATTAGAGATCTTTGCAATTTTAGATCTAGGAGCTCCCCCCCCCCCCAAATTTGACACTTAGAGCAAATAGCAAAATCCTTTACATGCATGTTATTTCTCTGGTGCTACTGAGATAAATATATGTGTTCATTTGGATGTTGGTAGAAATTGAGCCTTGCCATGGTGCTTTCCTGTAGACAGTTTCTAATCTGCCTAGTCCTGCAGCTGGTTGGACACAAACACACTGAGACTTATATTAACTATAAACTGTTTGGCCATTGGCTCGGGCTTCTTATTGGTTAGGGCTCTCTTAATTATTAACCCATTTCTATTAATCTGTGTATCTCCATTGTGGTCTTGGCTTACCAGAGAATGCCCGGTGTCCTATCTTCCTGTAGCTACATGGCTTCTCTCTGAAGCCTTCTCTACCTTCCACTTCCCAGCATTCTCCTAGTCTGGTAGCCCTGCCTGTACTTCCTGCCTGGCTACTGGCCAATCAGCATTGATTCATCAACCAATCAGAGAAACCTATATTCATAGCATACAGGACATCCCCCTCATCTCCTTTCTGTCTAAATAAAAAGGAAGGTTTTAACTTTAACATAGTAAAATCATATATAACAAAACAGTTATCAAATAAGAACTATTGTTAACAATATTTAGTCCATTAACATTTGGCAAAATTAAAAAAAATATTCTACCATCTATCCTATCTTTGTGAGTCTAAACTTTAATATGTAACTTTTATCATAACTAATGAAAACAATAATCATAACTTTCAACTCCATCTAAGACCTCAGAAGGATAATATATAAACTCTAGAACTGATGGAGACATCTTGCTGCCTGGACAGTCACCCAAAGTTCCTCTGTAACGTTGGGGCGTCCCTCTTCACCCTATAGGCCCAGTGTCTGGTAGACTTTTCTGTGAAGCGGGAATCTTGAAGGACCATCCTGTCCTGTGGCAAGTTCAGCAGTCACTTTTCTTTACAACCTGCTTGTCCAGTTTGGACAGTATGTTTTCAAGCAGTCCAGACAAGAGCAGTTTCTTGTCCAAATGGGTATTCCTGCCATATTGAAGGCACACTCCATCCTCCTCTCTGATGTAATTGGTGTTGTGTCTCCTTGTCATGAAAAACCCTAATAAACCATTTTAAATGTCATAACCTATAGTTCTTTGAAAGGTTTGAAGAATATCTATCCATTGCATATATATCTCTGTATATGTAGAAAACTAACATGACTATATAGGTGACTATCTATAATCTGTATTTAATTATACATTACATTTTTAAAAGAGCTGTATAAACACAATACTTAACCCGGAGTAGAAATATACAGGTAACAAAATTGACCTTAAATTTGTATCAGTAAACCAAAATCCATACCAATGCAAAGTATTAATTTCTATATCACTTTCCTTCCTAGCTTTTCATTTTATTTTTTGATATAACTCATGAGAGGAAGAATGAATTTGGCTGTCTCTTTTGGGCTCAAGCTAAAGTAGGGTTTTCATGGTATTTCTTGAGATTTTCCAGTATTATTCTTGAAGGGGAAAAAGAATGAAAGAATCTCTTCTAATTAGCTGAATTATGTCCACTTAATTCAGTATTTTATATATAAGTATGCAAATTGTGAATGTCATGTATATGCTAAATGTTCTAGAGCTCTGAAGAGTGGGTTGAGGCTGTTCCCTTCCAGACACTTGGCAAAGAAAAGACCTGGAAAGTGAAAGACGAAAAGCCAGAAGAAGAATGTGACAGGCATGTTATGCAGGTGAGCACCCAGCTGATTCAGAGCAAATTGGCTTCTAAGAATGGATTGGTATTAAACTTATGACTATAACTTCTTCAGGAGGATTATACTTTAGCAGTAGTTTATGAATTGCTGAATGCTGGTATTCAGACTGGCCTTCTCCTGCTCTGGAAGCTCATCATCTGGAATCCCATCATCTGGATGCTCATCTGTGCTGTCACCCTTCAGAACTCTCTTTACTATGGTTGTTGGCATTTCCTTTTTAGTTGGGTTTACCTAATACAGAAGTCTGAACCTCTTGTATGCATCTAGTTCAGTTGCAACTTTTCTTTCTGTTCCCTTATGTCACAATTTGTTCATCAATGCTTACAGTTGAGTAGCAGATAAATTCATATGCATAAGAAAGAATAGAGTTTGCCCACTTAGCCACAGAAACAGGAAAAAAGGTGAACAGTAGCTAACATTTCATTGTGTGCACCAGACCCTATGTTGGCTACCTTTTATACTTATTTTGTTTACTCCAAACAAACTTGAAAGGTGAGTTCTTCACTCCACTTTTATAAGGCAGAGAATAAGGTGCAGCAAAAATGAGAAACTCGTTGAGTACCTAGCCACATAGTGTTTGCTCTTGGCTAGTGCCTGCAGTCTGCTATTAAGTAGGTCTTAAGTACAGATTGAAATGGCTTCATTCTTTTAAACAGCGGGATGAATGGATGACTGTTGATTTTATGTCTGTTAAAACTGTGTCCTCATCATCAATCAAAGCTGAAAAGGAGACTTTAAGGAAGACAGAGCAGGAAAAAGCCCAAGCACTAGAGCAGGTAAGAGAACAATTTCAGTGCTTTCATTTTTTAATTTGCCTTATTTGTAATATCATTTTTATTTGTAAAGTACATTTTTTAGTGGTGTATGATAACTGAGGAATGTGAAACAATTTTTTAAAAAGTTAATTTCTTATAGGGAAGCTGTTTAAATGTATACTAGGGGTTGAGAGATGTTTCAGCCGGTAAGAATATTGGCTGCTCTGTTAGAGTACTCAAATTGGGTTTTTAGTACCCACATGGCAGCTGTAACTCCAGTTCTAGAGATTTATTGGCCTTTTTAGGCCTCTGTGGGCACTGCACACATGTAGCACATAGACATACAGACAAATTACTTGTACACATAAAATAAAAATAAATACGGATTTTTTTTGAGAAGTGTATTAGATTTAGACTGGAAAGATGGGTCAGTAGTTAAGAGCATATACTGCTCTTCCATAGGACCCTTTAATTCCCAGAACCCACAGTGGGTAAATCGTTGCTGTCTCTAATCCCAATTTAAGGAGAGCCAGTACTTCTGGTTTGGGCAGGCACTTGTACACATGTTCACATATGCACACCCAGACACGGGCACATAAAATATATCTTTTAAAAGACATACTAGATGTGGTAATCTAGGTAAATGTAGTTAAGCAGTTATTGTCTGTTACATGATTGCCATTAATTACAGTTGAGCCATCAACTGAGCCTTCTGATTGTACACTAATTAGTTAATCCTAAGAATGGTTTCAAGATGCCTAGAATGCCATAGAAAATACTAAACAGGCATGTTCATGTTATTGTTTTCACTTTGATGTCAAGAAAACAATGGGAGGGGCTGGAGAGATGGCTCAGGGGTTAAGAACACTGCCCGTTCTTCCAGAGGTCCTGAGTTCAATGCCCAGCAACCACATGGTGGTTCCCAACCATCTGTAATGTAGTCTGGTGCCCTCTTCTGGAGTGCAGGGATACATGCAGTCAGAATACTGTATACATAATAAATAAATAAATATTAAAAAAAGAAAACAATGGGAAACCCTTAGCGACCATAAAGTTTAGAAATGCTTTCAGAGATTGTGTTATAATTTACCTTGAATGTAATATAGAACAAGTGAAAAATATAGCCAAGTGATTTTGAGAGTTCTGTGGTCAGTGTTGTTTTGTTTTTTCTCCCAGTCTAATTTTAAGTTTAAGTATGATAAACATGCTGTTTTGTAATCAAGCTGCTACCATGTGGACCATTGGAGGACAGGAATTTTGGAATGTCTTGTCTAAGTTTTGGGATGTCTTGTCTAAATCTCTGAGTTAGTCTGAAAGGTTCTGAAAAACAGTAGGTGTTCAATAAAGATATATCAACATTAGTTAGACATTGTTCCTGCAAGTTATATAACGTGTCCTAAGAATTTTAAATGATTTGTTAAGCCTTGTAAATCAGACAGTTAGCCACCTCAAATTATTTAGTAATCATTTCCATGGTGGATTGACTTTTACACTCTAACCTTTCAAAATGTTTTCTTCTAGTCCAAACTACTAGAAAGAGAATTGAATCCATACTGGAAGGATGGTGGGACAGGTCTCCCTTCAGAAAATTGTATACCAGCAGTTACTAAAGGTATCCTTATATTTTCTTTAGACTTATAGGCATTTCTCACATTCTACTAATGAAAGGGGTAAATGTGATTAAAGTATGTTATATATATGTGAAAATTTCATAATGACACCTGTTTTGTACAGTTAATATACACTCGAGTTTATATATATTGTACAGTTAATATACACTCGAGTTTATATGTAAACTCGAGTTTATATATAACAAAATATTTATGAAATATGTGTGATCTTTTGAAGTCTTATTTAAGTCATTATTATTTGGAAAGTTTACTATTATGCATTTTGGAGGAAGGTGATTCAGTATATATTGTATATAATAACCATAATTTTCAAGTTTCTATTTTAAATGGGCTAAGACAAAGCATGATTATATGAAACTTTGTATTAGATTTGATTTTTTTTTTTTTTTTTTTCGAGACAGGGTTTCTCTGTATTGTTTTAGATGCTGTCCTAGAACTCGCTCTGTAGACCAGGCTGGCCTTGAACTAACAGCGATCCGCCTGCCTCTGCCTCCTGAGTGCTGGGATTAAAGGCATGCGCCCCACCAACACCTGGCTTAAAATTATAGATATTAAAGATGCAACTTTATTGCTTTTAGAAATTCCTCAGTTTTCAGCAATCATAAAATTTGTGTGTTATTCTTAGGATCTTAGGAGAAGACTGCTAGTATTTTCCAGTCAGTGGAGACAAGACAATATATATGAGCATCACATAGTGCTCAGTATATTATTATATTGCCAATTCAGTGATAACTTGAAATATAATTTAGCCAGAATAAAATAATATTATAAATAATGTTATCTTTTTCCATTTAATTTCTATATGGCTGCTTAAAATTCTTCATTGTATGTGAGCATGAGGCCACCAAATCTACTCCAAGACATCTTTAGAATTCTTACTTAGTATTTTTACTAAGTTATTAGTTACTACTATTACTATTAGTAAGCAGAGTTTTCCTGCCCTAACCTCTCAACCCCAGTCTCTTAGTATTAATTATAAATGATTGGCCAGTAGCTCAGGCTTATTGCTAACATTTTAAATTAACTTATCCTTTTTTTTTTTTTTTTTGAATTTATTAGTTCAAGTTAGGGAACAAGCTTGTTTCACATGTAAGTCCCTTGTCCCTCTCCATCCCCTCACCCCCATCCCTCCTTTCCCACCCCCAATACATCCATCCACCATCCACTCCCTAGGTTCCACCAAATATTCCTGTGCTGGGCCTGGGCCCTTTCCCATTTGTCCAGGGCCAGAATGTATCCCTTCACGTGGGATGGGCTCTCAAAGTCCCTTCTTACACCAGGGAAAAAATACTAATCCACTACCAGAGGCTCCCTGGAGTGCAGAGGCCTCCTTATTGACATCCATGTTCAGGGGTCTGGATCACTCTTGTACTGGCCTCCCCGACGGCATCTGGGGTTGATGTGCTCTCCCTTGTTCAGCCCAGCTGTTCCTGTGGGTTTCTCCAACCTGGTACAGACACCTTCGCTCTTCATTTCTCCCTCTCTTCAACTAAATTCCAGATTTCATCTCAGCGTATATCTGTGGATGTCTGTCTCTGCTTCCATCAGCCACTGCATTGCCTGGATTGTCAGATCGTGTCATCCTTGTAGGTCTCTGGAGATCTCCCTAGTTCCAGATCTCTTTTCGGACCTATAGTGGCTCCCTCTAATGTGGTATCTCTCATCCTGCTCTCTCTCCTCTATTCTTCCCCTAACTCAATATTTCTGCTCCCCCATTTCCTTTCCTCTACTCCTCTTCTCTTGATCTTATTGTGGCAGTTCCCTCTCCCCTACCCTTGTGCTCCCAATTAGCTCAGGAGTTCATGCCACTTCCCATTCCTGGGGTCGATTTATCCCTTAGAGTCCTTCATGTTTCCTAATTTCTTTGGTGAAGAGGATTATAGGCTGGCAATCCTTTGCTCTATGTCTAAAATTCATATATGAGTGAGTACATACCATGTTTGTCTTTTTGTGACTGGGTTACCTCACTCAGGATGGTTTCTTCTAGTTCCATCCATTTGCCTGCGGATTTCAAGATTCCATTGTTTTTCTCTGCTGAGTAGTACTCCATTGTGTAAATGTAT